GTCTGAAAATCATTTTGCATACGTTTTAGGCCATTCTAAGCATTTTATAAAAAATCGCGCGTACGAGCATGCGCGCGCGTTTTCGCGCGTAAAACTTTTGCACAACATTGAATTGCTTTTTTTTTTCTTTCATAATATACCACATATATTTACAAACAAATTGATACCACGTTTGTCTCTTTATGACTATTAATAACGGATTGATCGACCGTTTAACAAAAATTTCCGTGCGCGCGAGCTCTTGTAATACATAGCAAATATGGGCAAAAACATGCCTATACAAAATCCATTGTAGCTCTTTAGGATGCAAGGTGACCCCAATTTGTTTTCATATTTTAATAGAGTATGATTCGGAGATATTGTTTCATGTCTCATTCGACCCTCAATTAACTCATGACGTCATCACAATGGCCTCCGAACTCAAAATTCCAATTTGCATATTATGACGTCAGCATATTTATGGAAAATTGATTGTATCTCTGTAAATATTGATTGATTTTCTTCCAAATTTTGATATGTTCTAGCTGAGACAATTCCCTACAAAGGCAATTGCTATTATTTTTCATTTTGACAAAGGCATGGCGTATTTTTGCGATTAAAGGAGGCATGTAAATTTTTTACATTTTGCGTGTATTCTCTATGGGATATGACTTTTTCTCAAAACTCTATTCTACATTCCCGTCTTTCGCGAGCAATATCTACGTCGTTTTAGCTTCGTTTACGCTGAACTTCGAGTATGTTGTAGATGAGACAAAAAGCTATCTCAAATGTACCCTTAATTTCGTTAGAATTGCCTTTATTTATATATTTTCAGGTGGGCTGTATAACGTACAGACCACCTTATAATTTCGTTAGAATTGCCTTTATTATATATTTTTCTTATTTCTAACCACTTTTTTGTGAACAAGATAACTTGGAAATGGCTCAATCAAATGCCTAGAAATTTGGCACACATATGTATAGACATATGTACAAAGCACAATAACGTTTTCAACATTGACCTTCACTGATGACGTCATCTAGGCGCCATTTTGTAAAATTTTACGAAAATCAACTCATGATCATATCTTCATAACCAAAAGGTATTTCTCGTTCATATTTATCATGATCAAGGTCAATATCCGTCCGGTCAATAAAAGGTCAAATAACGCGCGCCTGCGCGTACGTCCGCGCGTCAATGCGCGCGCAAAATTTTGAAATGCTCAAAATCGTCTGAAAATCATTTTGCATACGTTTAAGGTCATTCTAAGCATTTTATAAAAAATCGCGCGTACGAGCATGCGCGCGCGTTTTCGCGCGTAAAACTTTTGCACAACATTGAATTGCTTTTTTTTTTCTTTCATAATATACCACATATATTTACAAACAAATTGATACCACGTTTGTCTCTTTATGACTATTAATAACGGATTGATCGACCGTTTAACAAAAATTTCCGTGCGCGCGAGCTCTTGTAATACATAGCAAATATGGGCAAAAACATGCCTATACAAAATCCATTGTAGCTCTTTAGGATGCAAGGTGACCCCAATTTGTTTTCATATTTGAATAGAGTATGATTCGGAGATATTGTTTCATGTCTCATTCGACCCTCAATTAACTCATGACGTCATCACAATGGCCTCCGAACTCAAAATTCCAATTTGCATATTATGACGTCAGCATATTTATGGAAAATTGATTGTATCTCTGTAAATATTGATTGATTTTCTTCCAAATTTTGATATGTTCTAGCTGAGACAATTCTCTACAAAGGCAATTGCTATTATTTTTCATTTTGACAAAGGCATGGCGTATTTTTGCGATTAAAGGAGGCATGTAAATTTTTTACATTTTGCGTGTATTCTCTATGGGATATGACTTTTTCTCAAAACTCTATTCTACATTCCCGTCTTTCGCGAGCAATATCTACGTCGTTTTAGCTTCGTTTACGCTGAACTTTGAGTATGTTGTAGATGAGACAAAAAGCTATCTCAAATGTACCCTTTATTTTGTCTCAATTTTTTGTTGGATCAGCCCACCTATACTTGTTCCAAACAAGTATTACAAATCTAGTTTTGTCTTGCTATAGAAGGACGGGGAAACAAAATTATCTTCCTTTTTTGTGTGTAGAGATAAACACCTGCCCTCAACCCCCCCCCCCCCCCCCCACATTCGGAGCGATATGATCGCGGGTATGTGATCGAGGTATAGAGTAAAGGAAACACTTATTCATCAATATATGGGGGAGCGTTTGTTTTGAATATTGAAGCTTTACATTATAATATACAGCAAAAGAAAAATCAAACATCAAAATAATTTTACATAATTTTCATCTATTTTTCTTGTCTTAAAATTGGGGCCGAATGATGGGGGTAAAAATGGCTAAACAAGAAAATAGATTTATCCAGCACTCGAATGCTAATCGATATCTTGCAAAATTATAGGCCTGTGCATGGAATGGAGAGGCAAAACCGATTTAGCCACCCCCTTATAGGGAAAAACTCTTGCCTCTCAATTTTGGTGCATAATAATATTCGGTGCCTTGATGCAACGTAGTCTCATTCAGAGATCTGAGGTATATAGGCTTAATAATGATGGTTATCGATGATGACGACGATGATGATGATGATGATGGTGATGATGATGATGATGATGATGATGAAACTATTCATAACATTACAACAACAACGAAGATGATGATGATGATGATATAATAATAATAATTATGATGATGATAATAATAATAATTACTGGTTTCCTTCCTGATCACCATTAGTTACGATCGTCTCCCCAAGCCATATACGCCACGTTAAAATTCACCATTAAGTTTCACTTTAACTTCTCCATTGAAAAAACCCGGTGAAAAACAAACATAGTAGGCCTATGATTTGTATTGGAAATATCTATTATTTTGTTATGTTTATTGTGGTTTGTCGTGTGTAAGTCTGTTTCTCTGTGACTGCTTCGCAGCCACTATCCCCGGGGCATTATTATCCCAGATAGCAAAATATCTGGGGCCCATCTGGGTTTTGTATGGGCTGACTAAAGCCTACGTGGCCCATACAAAAACCAGATGTATACCAGATGGGCCTTCCCACCCAGAGCCCACGCATATGGGCCCCATGTGGGTTTTTGGTGGTGAAAATCGCACGTTGAACATCGGCTGGGCCCAGCTGAAAACCAGATGTATACAAGATGGGCCTTCCCACCAAGAACCCACAGGTATACGGAGCCCACGTGGCCCATATAAAAACCAGATGAATACCAGATGGGCCTTCCCATCCAGAACCCACAAGTACCAACACATACAGGCCCCATATGGGCCCCATGTGGGTTTTTGGTGGTGAAAATCGCACGTCGAACATTGTCTTCGCCCAGCTGAAAACCAGATGTATACCAGATGGGCCTTCCCACCCAGAACCACAAGTATATGGAGCCCACGTGGCCCATAAAAAACCCATATTGGCATTCCCACCCAAAACCCACATGTATACCAACACATGTGGGCCCCATGTGGGCCCCATGTGAAAGTTGCACATCGAGCATCGGCCGGGCCCAGCTAAAAACCAGATGTAAACCAGATGGGCCTTCCCACCCAAAACCCACAAATATATCCCAGAATTTGCATAATGAATATGGGGTGCGTGAACAACTAGATTTTTTTACAATTTATCTGAATTTACAGGATATTTCCTAATTACTGATGATTTAGTTATATGCAATTCATTTCGAAAATACTACAAAATGTAAATTGCTAATATTTAGGACATTTCACTACTTTGTATAAATTTCATTTAATTAAACATGAATTAGGAAAAACACTAACTATGATCTAAAACAGATTCAATAAAATACAAGTATATGGAAATGTCACATCACAGTAAATTACACCAATGCCTTTACATTGGGAATTTTAGACGATGTGTTGTTGCCATTGGCAAAATTAATTAGTACAAGTGCTACATAAGCTACTAATTAAGTTTGCTAATTGGAGCTTTTAAGTGGTTGAAAGTTGTGCCAAATGGTAAGACTGGTCCAGTTAAACCCAACTGGTAACCCTGTATATTGAAATGGGATAAATGAATTCAACTGGGTAAAAATAGAACCCATTTAAACGATATGAAGCCCATTTAAACCAAATTGGCCCATATGGGACCAGATCAAACCCACTTGGCCCAAATGGATCCCATATATAAACCCGCTTATAGCCCATATGGGGCCCATATAAAACCCACTTGACCCATAATAGAATGTGGTAGGTCCCACATAAAACCCACATGGCCCATCTGGTGCCCAATAGGTAACCCTTGTGTATATTGATGGGCCAATTGTGGGGCCCATCTGGGTTCCACGTGGGCCCATCTGGGCCAAGTGGGTCCAATCTGGGCCGCCCATCTGGGGCCCTTCTATAACCCGGGTGCAGATTGCTGGACCCCACATGGGGCCTATCTGGGACCCATCTGGGCCAAATGGGCCAAGTGGGCAATAGATGGGCTGGCCCATCTGGGCCAAGTGGGCCAGCCCAGTTGTAACCAGATGAAACCCAGATGGGCCCCACAACATTTTGCTATCTGGGTAGAATCATTATTAGAAAGTAGAGCGAATTCGTCAATCATATGTGCCCTGACTTTACACATCATTCGTTAGAACTTCCCTTAGCTCCCCCCCCCCCCCCCCTCCCCCCAAATAAGCGACTTTTTATCAAGAAGTGAGTAGGCCTAAAGCATGTTGAGTTGAAATATCTACAGCTGATTTGATGGAGCAAAACTCCTACCTTTTATGAATCACGAAAGCCTTTTAAAATCGATAAAAGATAATATACAAACAAACTGGCTCCTACACCCTTCCCTCGTTCGCTCGTACCCCTACCCCCCCCCCCCCCCCCCCCCCCCCCAATCCCAGGCCAAATCCCAGGCGATACCCATTGCAGTGCAGCTACAAAGCTTTTCGAGCATCGCACAACCGAGTAGGCCCTACTACGAAAGTACTGGAGAACGGTTTCTCTTTGGAAACGTAAAACGAAAAGCTTTCATTGAGATACAGTGCCAGTGCGGCAACTATTACAGTTTGAAACCATGGCGCCGTTGACAGCAATTACGATTGTGGCTTCCTGCTTTCTCTTTGGTTTTACATCAGCTCACCTCCCTGGTAAGTTTCATATCATTTAATCACACATTCATTGGAATGAAATAATTATTTTTACCGATTCCTTTTCATTGATATGATTATAAATATATGAGATAGACCTCGACCATCGACCAGTAAGGTAGCGAAGCTGTATGGGCTGTGGCACATCGCGATCGCCTGAGCTGACGGGTAGGCGGAGCGGTAATTAGGGAGCTGGAAGAAAGCTCTTCAGCGTCAACGCCTTTGCAGAGGTATCGGTAGGCTTCCGTCTTTTCGAACCGAAGTGTCATCAGCAGCAAAAGGAAATAAAATTAATAAATGATATCTTAAAGAGGGAAATATTCGTATCTTTCAATGATACTGAGACTCAAGGAATTCGGATAGAGTCTAGATATATTACAAAGACGAAAATTCATAGTCAACAGTCAGAATAAGATTAAGATAGTCTCATCATGAAATGATGGAAGATTCATCAGAAAATAAAGGTTAACATATCACCATGATCACATATGCATAAACTTTATAATTAATTAAGCTTAAGCAGCTAGAAGCTAGATCTAAATTGGATGTGCTGTGTGTGTGTGTATGTGTTTGTTGTGATTTTGCCCCCCAATTTTTTTTTTAATGGAGCAAGCAGCCTTGATTGAGAAGAGAAAGTTGACAGGAATGCAAAACTATTGGAGCTTTCCAGAGCTAAATCCATTCTCATCCTTATTCCTTGTGTATTTTTTTCATTGATAAACTCCAAAAAAATTATCACTCCACGGTTGAAGATATATTATAGACCGGTAGTGGTAAAATTGCGGTTCAAGGGTTTTGGGTGCAAAATATCCATTCATTATTGTTTCAGTATTGCCTTCAAAGGTTTAGATGGCAATACTTCAACCTAAATTTGCAAAAAAGCAGAAATATATGCCCAAATTTTCGATGTTGAAGTGCATTCCCGATATCTATCCTGGCAGGATCGATATGATAACTTACCAAATATATCAAATAGTAGGCGGTTTCCCGGCAAAATTTGTATCATCACGTATTAGTCAAAACATATTCTTTCACATGATTGGTTATGAGCTTCCATTTCATTTTTTGAGAGGGGGGCATTTCCAAAACTGGTCTATACCTTTAATATAGGTATATAGGTATCTAACAACACTTTTCAGAAAATTGCCCCCCCCCCCCCCCCCCTGTTCATTAAAGAGGAAGTCTACCCTGATAATAAGTTGGTTTCAATAAAAGCTGATTTTTTTTTTTGATTTTTTTTTTTTTTTTTTTTTTGGGGGGGGGGGGTTAATTGTCATTGAAGGGGTGTGATTGCCCCACTGGTAATTGGCTGGTAATTGGCTGGTAACACCCAAAGCACTAAGCTATGTTGGCATACAAAGTAATCTTGTGTTGTCTTTGAGCAAGTGAAGTAAGTGAATGCATTATTCAAAGCAATCACACTGGACTTGTGATTCAAAGAAATAGATCAAGATTTACACCAAACTGGCAAACTGAGAATGGTCTATCATCCCTTTAGTTGAACCTCAAAGCAATGTCAGTGTGTCTGAAAGGCTTCAAGATAAAGTGAATGATCACTCATGATCATAGTCTCATACAGTAGATCCTACATATTTGGCGAAGACTCTCTGATATTTATGACTGAACAAAACACTTTTTAAAGTCTTTGTTTTAGTCTTAGAAAGACATACCCTGTATATTGATGCAAAAACAAATATAGTAGTTTGATGTACTTTAAAAAGGTGATTTTTTGTTCTTCTCTGAATCAGAATCACAAAGAGTTTTTGGCAAATGGGGTCTACTCTACTGTATCAGTGATAAATCACTTTATCGTGAAGCCAGACTGACTCTATTTTTTAGGTTAAACTAAAGGGAGGATGCAGTCTTGCAACTTGCTTTAACAGAAATTCCTTTTCTACCGGTATTGTACCCCATCAATTACTGCACCTGCTTAAAATGGCTCAAACTTCATCAAAGTGGCCTATCTGAAGATGGCAATTTGGCTAGGATTCAGAATCTTAGCCTCAGGGTGACTTTTGATGTGGGTACATCAGTAACATTCTATTAATGTTTTTTGTACAGTATTCACTTGTATGGAGCTGCGAGCAGTTGAAAATATACAGGAATCTACACAGAAATATCAAAAAGCTGCAAAAAAGTCTAGTTAAAAAAGATATGAAAAATCTTTTTTTTTTTTTCTCAAGGAAATCTTAGTTATTTTAAATAATTCATTAAGCTCTTAATACAATTTTCCCCCTTTTGTCACTAGTTAGTGTAATGTAAATGTAATACTTGAACAAAAAATCTATAAAACATTAAAAATATGTTTGCTTGTCTAAAACTCTAAATGATGGTGCATACTGTAGCAGCATACAATAAAACAGACAGACATGCACTTGAGTTTTTCTGAGTTACGTGTAGTTGCATTGATTTAGGGCTCTGCTACTTTTAGTTGGAGATTAAGGAGAGAGGATTTATTCAAGTTTGGCAGTGATTTTGGATGGTTGGTGTTTTTAATTTATATTGGTGAGAGATTAATTTGTATTATTTTACACTGGTGGCAGTGGTGGGATACAAACCCACGCCATCAAAATTATTGGTGCTTTTTGGATGATTGGTGCTTTTTTAATTTATATTGGTGAGAGGTTAATTTCTATTACTTTACACTGGTAGTGCAGGTCTGTCTGATTTTTATTGTAGGCTGCTATTCAGCATCACTTGGAACATTTTCAAGTAAAGTATATTCAAATAAAATAGATGTACATCATAAACCAAAAGCAAATAGGATTTAAAAGTAGGACTGAATATTCAAAAGGAAAAGGAAAAGAGAACCAATGAAAATTAAGAAGTGGAAATGCTTAATGCATTCACACAAGATTCATGAATAAAGAATGAGAAGAGAACAAAGAACATATACCAAGTGAGATGGAAAACTTGTAATATATGCAGAGGAGCCGTTTGGAGGAAGGAATTGAGTTGAGGAATAAAAGTATTAAAGTGAATATGTAAGTGACATGCAAATTATGTGAAATGAATGTATCTAGGGAAAAGAGACTAGAGAAACAAATAGTTATTGTAAGTTTAAAGTTTGTTACAAATACAAGAACGGAAGGAGTCTAATTTCATTTCTTACAAACAGTGTAAGCACCAAAATGGGGTGGTAGGCATCTTTAAAAAAAAAGGGAAAGTCACTTCGTCGTTGGGCTACAATGTACAGAATAAACGTACATCATACATTGCTTTTTGTTTACATTTATTTAGAGAATCAGAATTTATACAACTACATGTAGATGCGATAGAAATGTGCATACAAACTTGCATGTACATGTTTATACTCAGTACTGTGTAGCTTGGTATATTGAATAAGTTTTTAGCTTTAAATTGATGTATAGTGTCTACCAATTCTGTAACCTTATGTGATTGTGTCAGATTTGAACAGTTTCCTAATGAGTGTGTAAAGGTGGATGACCATCAGTTGATTTAGTCACTGGGTAGAAGCAGTACAATCAATACTACACACAAAGGATCCATCAGAGCTGAAAGTAATGTAGGATGGTGCGCAATTAGTTCACAATCACAAACATGTACATGTACATGTTTAGATACATGTACATGTACAATAGAAGTGTACAGTAGGTATACAAAAACAATGTACATGACGTGCATGTACATGTAGCCTCTTGTAGGCCGAGATGTTTTAGTTTCATTTAAAGATGAATGACCAATTCTGACAATTCTCCACATGAAATAATTAGTTTAGTCTAGATATAAACTCACATGTTGTCTTTACATCATTGTGACCCTTTCTGACAGTGCGATATACAGTAGGCTATAAAGGTATCCTAAATGTTCAGAATAATCTACTGAACTCTCAACTTTTCTTATGTTACAAACAACATTGTAATGTAATATAGGATGCATATGTCTGCACAGAGCTGCACTTTGCATGTAGTTTTCTATAATGTAAATGTATCCTTGCTATGCAGTGTAGTTCACTATAAAACATATTCAAAGCAACACAGAGTAGATAGATGCATGTACAGGTATTGAGAGATGACATGTAAAGAATGATTTATGAATATGTTTGTTGCAGACAAATTGTAATATGTGAATTACCCTTTAGCAGTACCCTTGGGTTGACCCCACAAAAAACTGTTTCCCCCTGTCATTTTGTTGTGTAAAATGTAGGGCTAGGAATTTGTAAGACCATTGTTAGGAGTTTATTATTGGCCCAACAATGAATCAGAGTTCGCTGCTCCATACAATGTGTGCTCTTTTGAATTGTTTGGAAATGGAGTGCAACGGTGTACCGGTACATGTAAAACAAGGCCATAATGCTAAAGCCATTCTTTAATTCTGGTATTGAAATCACAATTTAGGGAAACTGGCGTAGACTGTAATTCTTAAAATATTATGCAGTACCGGTAGATTAATGTAAAATACAAATAAAACTTAAAATTTAGAAAAAGTGTTTAAAATAAAATTCACTTCCTACATGTACATATGCACAGTATTTGGCCAATTTTAATGGAGGCGTGATGGCTCAGTGGTAGAGCAGTGGTCTTGTAACCGGGAGGTTCCGGGTTTGAAACCAAGTTGATACGCTAGTATTATTTTTACCAAGTCTCTTGAAAAAAAAGCCGTTTTTCCCCTGGTTGCTGGTTTATATGCTTTCTTAGCAGTCGGGTTAAACCAACTATAACCAACCAAATTTTGTTTGAGAATTAAAGATAGGAACTTACAAATGTTGAGCAACGACATCAAGCTTGGTTTCCATAATGCGAGTCCTAAATGTATGGTGCTGGTAATATTAGTCAAAGACTGAAAGAGGCTATAAATAATATTGAAAAAATTAATGTTGTTTTTGTTCAGATATGAAGCGGTTAACTGCAGTGATTTTCTAAACGGGTTAATGAATGGCAACTGGGCGCAACAACCATCCTACTTATACTTGCATGTAATGTACCGTACCTGTTCCTCTATGATATAAGATACAGAAATATGAAGCATACATGTTTATG